TATGGGCGGAGCCGAGCCTACACTCTGGCTTGCACATTGGCGCGCTCCTCTTCACTGAAGCAGTGGGTCTGATTCTGCTCTTAAGAGACTGTACGACTCTGGGAGACTGTAGATCTCTTTTGTTCTAGCGAGTGAGCCAGAAGGAGTACGAGCATCGGCGCTGAGTGGCCCACACAGAGTGTACAATCAAGAGGGATGAGTGATTTGAATGGGTGCCACCTGTTAAACCAGTTGAGTCCGGGGATGCTTCGGTACTGTCGACCCTCGGACGCTGTACGGGGTGAGCGGCACCAACGCTCCTGCAGAGGCTCCAGATTGACCCAACCAACGCATTTTAGCTACCGAACTTCGTACAGTACTAATGGAGTAAACCCTGCTTATATGTGAGGCACTTGAAGCGCAAAAATTTTGAAAAAAAATCGTAAAAGGGTAATTCTAGTCTTTGGGTGTCCATCATTATTACTTTCTGCCTTTCTTTTCCGTTTGGCTTTCTTTGATGCGTTTCCTGTGAAATTTTTGCTGTTATGACAGTGAACAGCATGCATTTCAGTGGTACAAACATGGGCCTCTGTTGTCAACGTGGTACTGGTTGAAGGTCGAAATCTTAACGTTGGTGTTTCGGTCACACCACCTGATCCCTACTGCAAATTCAAGCTCGGATGTGAGAAGTATAAAAGCAAGGTAGGTCAAGCGGCTTCAAGAAAAACTGCTTCATTTTGAATCCAAGGCCAGCGATCGAAGGCGCTACGTGCCTCCGGGAGGGGCACTTTCCAGCGAATTTAGCTTCGTCATGTTCTTACGCCATGAGGCGAGGAGACATAGCTAACAAGACGACCGCTCGAGAGTGGCGCCTTCCGTGGCACATAGCACTGTATTACCTGACCCTTCTGTACAAAACCGTTTCACTTTTCTTTTTTGTTACCCCTAGTCTCAAAATTCATATTAGAGTGATTTCCTTCTGGATTCAGTGAGATTTCAAGTTATTCATAATAGAAAGATTTCCAGGTCTGCACGCGAACAAGTGATCCTAAATGGATTGAGCAGTTCGATTTGCATATCTATGAGCTCGGTTCGGAAACGCTTGAAGTTATGTGCCAGGATAAACGAACCAACACCTCCATTGGAAGGTATCGTTGCGCTAATGAAGAAAGGGCACTATTTACCCTTTACTGCCCCAATCTTCCGAAAACAGGCCAGTTTTTGACCGACTTTTTTCTGCGTTGGCAGAATTGGCTGAAAATTTGTTCCCTGGGGTAGTTTGACCTCTTGAACATGAA